AGGGAGCCCGATGCGGGACTCGATCCAGGGACTCCAGGATCATGACCTGAGCTGAAGGCAGTCGCTTAACCAACTGAGCCACCCAGGCGCCCGTGAAATCCACTCCAAAATGTTCAAGTGTGTGTTGGTGGTACAGTGGTGAGCACAGCTGCCTTCCACAAAAGCCTGCTTATTAAAAGAGGACACTCCTAAGAAGTGTCATGATATAAGCAATTCACTTTCAAATTACTGTTCAGCAAAACAGTAATTTAAAAAAAATTTAAATATAGAGGTCTGAGACAAAGACAGATAAAGCAAATATGACAAAATAAATTATTATGTGATGAACAAATTGTTAACAAGATTGTTCATTATTGAGTCTAGATGGAAGGTATAGGCCTGTTCTCTGTACTGCCTTTTTCAGCTTTTCTATATGGTGAAAATTCTTAGCATAAGATATTCGGAAAGGAAGTTTACATACCATTCTACGCTTAGAAGTATAACTGAAATCCGTCTCTTCTTCCCTTAGATATTAAATATATTTAAATATATTTCAGTAATAGTCATATTTTATTTGATGTTTTTCAATGAACTGTAAAACCAATCCACAGAGTTGGGATACACATAGAATTATCTTTGAATATGACAGAAGCTCCTGAATAGAATAGGAAGGGCTTCTAAAATTTGTTTCAGCCTGAATTCATTCCACCAGAATCCATTAAAGTATATAAATCTCGCAGATTCAGTTACAGCTAGTCAACTTAAAGTGAGGAAAGTTAGTTCTTGGCTTTTCCCTTTTTTATAGGAAGTTGACCTGTAGCTTCTAAGTACTTATTGATGAGGTCTTCTTGTGTGGACGGTGAACAAGGCTGATATCTGCAGTACTCCATTGTGTATTCTCCCTTTCCCTAAGGAGTTAAAAAACAACAGATTTTGTTTGTTTTGGTACATCTACCAAGGAAAAGTCTTGCAAAGACAGGATTTCACATATTTAAGCACTGTGTAGGGCGGTTTCAAAGAGCACTTGAATAAAGTTTAAACACCTGCTTACCTCTGTGCATGACCTAAGTTCAGTGGAATAACCAAACATACCGTTTAGAGGGACCTGAAAACCAACACAGAGGATATTTTATTGAAAAATATTTGAGAAAGTACAGAAAAGCCTTAGGCATTTAATTCCTTTAGTCTTAAGTTTCTACTAACTACTCTTGATTTAAAAGAATTAAAAGCCAGAGAAGTATACTTTTGCTTTACTGAACATCTTATTTAAAAATAATTTAATGTGACAGTCACAACTAGAAACCAAATCTTTCTGTTTCACAGGGTGGACAGCCCTGACGGCCTTCCCCCACCCCATACCTACTCCACACTCTGGCTGAAGCTCAAAAATGGACAAGTGCTTCTTCTGCGAAGATGTTAATACAACTTTCCTCCGGACACCTCAATAATATGCTGATAGTAGTGTCTTCTAGGAGGCCTTATGTAATGTGACAGACACTTTCTCCCAGGAGATTTAAGTACAGGCAATGGAACTCAGTGTTACCCAGTAAATCAGAGATAACATGATAAAGCAGCTATACAAAGGAAACTTGTAACAAGAAAGAAAGATAACTTTTATACATCTAAGAAAATGACATATTCACAAAGGCCCACATAAATCTTATTTTTAGCTTTTGCATTTAAGAGTTGCTCTGACAGCAAATTATAGAAACTGCCAGAAATAGAACACTCAAATAGCTAAGAAAAGTGTCAATTTGCTCCACACTCTCCAAAACAAACTCTCCAAAAACAAAAACTAACTCTCATTTCCATCTGTGGTTACTAAAAGCAAGTTTGTCAGTGACCAATAGTACTTACATCTGCATACAGTGTAAAATAGTCCTCAATCCCATCTTGTCCTGTGATTACCCCATGGCGCCGGTTAATTCCCGCAATCACAGGTCCATGAAATTCATTTGGGGCTATAACTTCCACAGACATAATAGGTTCAAGAATACATAATGTTGCATTTGCCAAAGCTGGGTTAAAAAAAAGACACAAATCAGTTTATTAATCTTTAAACAAATGGGAAATCTTCCTTACCCAGATATACAAAAGGGAGAGTGCTCTCCAAAGGTACACACATGAGTGATGAGGTTAAAGTATTTGACCTGGACTTTTTTTTCTGGTAGCAGTAAGAGTCACTCTCCTAAATGGAAATTCCAATAAGACAACACATGATTACAGTATTAATATTTCTATTACTATATTTTTATCCTTAAACATTACTAAGCTGCGGAGAATATAAAAGGGGTCTTCAAGCAACATTCAGTCAAGTTCTTTACCATCTAAATTATCCAGTTGAGGGTTACTTATTCTCCCTCTCTGAATACTTCGACGAGTAAGGACACTCACTGTTAAGTCTTTGACCAGGTAAACCAATTATTTCTGGTTGGTCCCTAGAAGATAGTTATTTTTAACTGTAAGAGAATAACTTTTATCATATATTTGGAGACAATAATCAAGTCACACTTGAGTTCTGTCTTTCCTTTTCTAGGCTAAGCAATTTCAACACATGATTAAGAATCAGAAGACCCAAGTTTCTAGTTTCTGTTCTGACCCTAACAAGTTATATATGCCTTTTAGAAAATCAAAATGGGTCCAGCCCTCAAGTTTCTTCACCTACAAAATAAGACACTGGATGTGAAGAGACATGTAAGCACGAAAACGTTGTGTGTCCAAACATCTTTAACCCCCTTAATACCTAACCAGAACACTTCTTATTGTGACAAATGCTGACTGAGGGTTATATTTAACAATGTGGAGAGAACAGAACAACATTTCAAACATTCATACTTAATTTGTATGTTATGATAGTGTGGAATAATATTTCAGCCTCAGACTGGATGAATTATCTCTAAATAAAGATTTTAAGCAAAACAGAGAAAAGATGACAAAGAAAATATTGTTTTAAGATAATCACAGCTTTCCAGGCATCAGTTTGTTTATAATAAATTAATCGGCAATCATTCTTGTATATTCATTAAAGCACTTCTCTTAAAGACACTATTAGCTTAAGTGCAATAATTAAAGAAGAGCAATTTAATATGCTTGGATTTCTTTGAAATACTTTCTAATTCAAATCATAGCTCATACCTTTGACTACTTAGTGAGTGAATTCTGTTCTAAAAAGAGAAAGAATTGAACTTTGCAGACTCCTAAGCTTTCTCAGTTAAGCCCCGAAGAACCCTGCACAGACATCTAAAGCAGCAGACTAACAATTCCGGACTGTAGGAACAGCTCCATTTCTTGTAATGTCGTGGGTTATCACAATACCAGAGCTTCCCTGGCTCTAAATAAATGCAATCAATGCAGAAGACACCCAGACAGACAGATGTGAGCAGACATATTAAGATTTAGTACACATTAGGGGCGCCTGGGTGGCTCAGTTGGTTAAGCGACTGCCTTCGGCTCAGGTCATGATCCTGGAGTCCCGGGATCGAGTCCCACGTCAGGCTCCCTGCTCAGCGAGGAGCCTGCTTCTCCCTCTGACCCTCCCCCCTCTCATGTACTCTCTCTCATTCTCGCTCTCTCAAATAAATAAATAAATCTTTAAAAAAAAAAAAAGATTTAGTACACATTACCTAGTGTTTTCAATAGGTCAGTAATATAAAAGAGCTAGATTGTGAAAGGGTCATCATATTTTAAAGGGAAGAAAGGGCCAGGTATACAGTGCCCATCACTTAATTGCTGAGGATGTTCTGTCCAGTTCTCAGTTTCATATTCTCTCATCCTGCTCCTTTCAACTCCCCCTTTCTCCTTAAATTCACCCTGACTCACTTCCAAAGAATCCTGTCCTTATGCATGCCTTCTTCTAACCCACTGTGACAAAACTCTGGAGAGAATTCACCCTGCCCTATTCAACAGTCACATGGCAGCCCACTCCTAAAAGCTAAGTTTCCTTAAGCAGATCCATGTGGTCTATGGCTTTTTAAGATAGCAAGTAAAAATACCAACATCATCACAGGCACTTTTAAGCCTGAAGTGATGAGAAGAGGTGGTAACATTTTTATATCAGGCCACTAGGAATAATGTTGATAACACCAGGCCAGGTGTTGAAGAGGTCGTCTGAGGTGGTGTTCAAGGGTTAGGACTCTGGGCTGGGTTTAACTCTCAGCTCCACCACTATCATGTAATCTTGAGCCATTCAATTAACTACTCTGAGTCCTGATTTTCTCAACTATAAGGTCACTGTGAACATAAGATATGATAATTCACGGGCGCCTGGGTGGCTCAGTTGGTTAAGCGACTGCCTTCGGCTCAGGTCATGATCCTGGAGTCCCGGGATCGAGTCCCGCATCGGGCTCCCTGCTCGGCGGGGGGTCTGCTTCTCCCTCTGACCCTCCTCCTTCTCATGCTCTCTGTCTCTCATTCTCTCTGTCTCAAATAAATAAATAAAATCTTTAAAAAAAAAAAAGATATGATAATTCATGTACTCAGCATAACACATAGCACATAAGTGATCAATAAATGTTGTTATAAGCACTCTGAGACAAGAAGTTGGCATGGCACAGTACCAGGTCAAAGGTAATATGAAGGAAAGAGTGACTAGCATTCACTGCCCAAGTATGCATGTGCAAGTGTTTTCAAATACATTCTTATACTTAATTTTACATTCTCTCATATATTATTATGGAATTACTATCTCCAAGCAGCTTGGGGGAAATTCCTATGATTTGCACATTTCCACACAGTAAGCATGGAGCGGAGCTGGGATTTAATCTCCAAGCCCATCACCTAACGGGGCAGAGATCAAAGGGGTGCTGTCAAGTTAAATGAGCTACCCTTTACTTCTAGGCCTTTATTTCTCTTACGGAATGGCTACAAGTTTGAGGTTTCTGGGGAGACCAAGCATAGTGCTCTAAAACCTGGCCACAGAAAATGATGGCAACGGTAACATTCGTAAGGTGAAACATGCCCAAACAGAACATTCAATTCTAGATTCAGTTTTAGTTACATCACTGATTAACCTCAGGGACAAAGTTTAAACTGTGACCCAACACAGTTCCAGTTTTCATTTCTTTTTAATGAAAAAAATGAGAATCTGAACTATTTTTCTTCCAATTTTGGTAACAGAGAATGGCTCATAAGTCTAAACTATTCTGATACTGGGCTCATTTATCAACATTTTCACCCCAAAACTCTCATATGGCACTCAACAGAGGCTTATGCATGAAAAGCTGATTTTCTTACTGAACTAAGGAAAACTTCCTTTCACCCTATACACTTCTGTCTTTCAATCCTGGATGACTGAATAACAGATGAAGAAACAGCAAAGTAATTCATTTTTCATGCTAGCATGCTGCTGTTTTGTACATGTTTATCTGGAAAAAAACAAAAAAAAATTCTCAATTACTATCTAGTACTTTTCCTTTGCACACCCACCAGGCAGTTAATCATACTTAATGTCTGTACACTGAAATAATTAAAAAGTAAATGGCACATATTCACCTGTTAATATTAGTAGATATACAGACTGTTTTCACGGAATCATATGTGTAAATTATGGGCATATACATCTACATTTAATTATATTTCATACAGGAGCAACTAAAAAAGATGATGAGGCTCTTTGTTAACTGACAACCATACCAATTATCTGGCTTTGTGTAAACTCTATCTCCAGGAAAGCTACTAATTTCCAGTCAAGAACCAGATAGAACAATTGGTGATTTCTAATTCAGCTGTGCTTGTATAAAGTATAATAATATATGTATATAAAATCATCACATGTACACTTAAAATATCTCACAATTTTGTCAATTACACTGCAATAAAGCTTTAAAAAAAGGTACAAAAGTGATTACAACTAATTTGTCTAGTTTAAGATTTACTGAAGTGGTAAACACCCTAAAGGGCAAAAGAGGCAGGTGTTTTAATGTGAATCATGCCTAAGAAAATGTTATTTTCTTTGTGACTTAATTTCCCTTTTTGCTATTAATACAATCTTCAGATTATGACAAAATTTCCAGATCACAGATTTCAACTGCATTTTTAACAGAGAGCTGGCATAAAGAAAATGAAGGATTTTCTCTCCCTTTCACAATTGAGAAACTAAAACACAAATTACTAACGGTTGCCATTAGTTTAAGTAATAAAAAGAATTAGCAACCTGGTCAAGAAATGAGCAACCTTTTCCAACACCTGATGGCAGATGCAAACAGAAAAACAACACGAAGTCCAAAATTCATACAGAATCAATAAAACCGTGATTTACAGAATGCTTAAAAGATATGATTTATCTAATTTTTACTGTCCATTTTGACCCTCTCTTTGATAAAAATGTTTCTGAAATGTTTTATAAATCATAATTCTTTTCTTTTCATAATATAATTCCCTTGTGTAAAGATACTTATGGACATTATTAATAATGAATATGGAAGAGATGACAAAGAGAATACATTTTCTGGGTTCAGGACACAAGTTTTAAGTTCCTTTGTTGAATAACCCTGATGTCAAACTGCTGTGTTATTTGCTTTTCTCTTTTAAAAGCAATGAATCACATATACTTGCAATTGTTTAGGTTTCTGGTTCATCAGGGTTTTAATACACCGGTTATTCTGTGTGGAAAAGGTTGACAATTCCAGTTTAGCAAGGGGTCTGCGCTGTAAATAAAGTTTACTGAGTTCCTTCAAAATATGTTGCCATCCTCAAAATGCCTAAAAGCCTACAATGTCATACATTACAAAAATTACTTACAAACTTATGGATTTCCTGGCATCTGAATAAGTCACTAAAAATAGCATGACTGTAATATTTCTATAAAATATTTCTTAGTACTCCAAGCACATCTATCTTATTAAAAACACAACAGCCAAAATATGGAAAGAGCCCAGATTCGACGAATAGATAAAGATGTGGCACGTGCGTGCGCACACACACGCACACACACACAGGAATACTACTCAGTCATCAAAAAGAATGAAATCTTGCCATTTGCAACGACGTGGATGGAACTAGAGGGTATTATGCTAAGTGAAATAAGTCAGAGAAAGACAAATATATGATTCCACTCATGTGGAATTTAAGAAACAAAACAGATGAACACAGGAGAAGGGGGTGGAAATAAAATGAGAAATAAGAGAGGGAGATAAACCATAAGAGACTTAACTACAGGAAACAAACTGAGGGTTGCTGGAGGGGAGGTGGGTGGAGGGATAGGGTAACTGGGTGATGGGCATTAAGGAGGGCACTTGAAGTGAGCACTGGGTATTACATGCAACTGATGAATCACTAAACTCTACCTCTGAAACTAAAAATACGCTATATGCTAATTAATTGATTTAAAAAAAAGTGGCAAAAAAACAGAACTTACAGATTATCTATAAATTTAAGCATAAGAAAAATACTAGATAATTTAGGACACAAGGTAGTTTGTAAGAAAGAGAACACAGTAATCTACCCTCACTTCAATTCTATAAATATTTGCCCAAAACCTGCCATGTTCCCTGGTGGGCTGTCTAGTACTCTGGGGGGACAAGACTAAAACACTGCATTGCATTCTGAGTCTCTGATGGTCTATCAGGGAAAACAGACACAGTGTTGCAGCAAGTGCCAGGACTCAGAATACCTTGTTTAAGAGCACCTTCTCCTGCGCGGATGAAAGAGATTTCATTGGAATCCACCATGTGGTGCGCCCCATCTTGCAGGACAAACCGGAGCCCAGAGAGCTTGTGACCAGAAAGAGGGCCTTTCTCACAGGCATCCAAAAACCCCTGTTAATGCATAAACACAACTTCTGGAGTCAGTGGATTTCACTTGCACATGAATTAAGAAGAATACTCACACATTTATACTGTTCAGAAGTTAAGCATTTTTATGAATACTACATTTCACCCCTCAAAAATAAGTTTTAAAAAGTCGGACAGCTTAACTACTTAAATTTTATTACTGTGGCATCCCACAGATGAAAAATCCCTTGGAAAAGCATATCACTTAAAGATGTGAGCTGGTTTGAAAGTGATGCTGGGAATGCTAACACTTAACATCTTCAGGAATTACTTACCTCTTCTAACCCATTATACAGATGGCATGCTCTTAATTTTATAAGAAGGAAACAGAGGAAAGGCAAGTAAGAGTATCTCCATCGAACTTGGCATTGATTCAACAGCTATGTCTTGAGCTCCCACTATACACCCATCACTGCTTTGCCTCATGGCAGACCACAACATGATAAGCTTTGGTGTTACACACATCAGTAAGAACTGGAATTCAGAAGTAATTTCACTTTTCCTAATGCAGTTCTTTTTTAAAAAAACAGCTTCAGGGGCGCCTGGGTGGCTCAGTCGTTAAGTGTCTGCCTTCGGCTCAGGTCATGATCCCAGGGTCTTGGGATCGAGAGCCACATCGGGCTCCCTGCTCAGCGGGAAGCCTGCTTCTCCTTCTCCCACTCCCCCTGCTTGTGTTCCCTTTCTCACTGTGTCTCTCTCTGTCAAATAAATAAATAAAATCTTTAAAAAAAAAAAAAAAAACAACAGCTTCATTGATGTATGACTGACATACAATAAACTAAACATATTTTAAAAGTACAATTCTTTTCCAGTCCCTTCAACATTTGTAGAGCTCCCACAATTCAAGTTAGTTTTTCTTGGCAAACAATCAGATTGCTGACATATAGTACAATATATTTCTGACATCGCAAAACTATAAACTCTGTATGTTGAAAAATACACAAGTTAGCCTTCACCTACATTAATCTTGGAGAATAGAAGATAACTTAAAAGTATGAGTGACAAAATACTGTCCTGAAATAAAGTATAATGAATGAAATACACTAATCACAAAAAAAGCTACCACCACTAAAACCAAAATAATCTATTAGTAAAGATTTCTAAGTTAAAAGGGTAAATGAAAACCTAAAAATTTCAATGTATGAGAACAGACAGTTGCTGAAGGTTTACAACAGTCTTAAAGCCAGTGACCTAGAAAGCAAACAAAACACTAACCTCTTACATGTGCAAAGCACTTCACAATTTACAAAGAAATGTTACAGAGTATCATCTGATACTAAAATTGGTGAGGGGTTTAAGTTTAGTCTTCTATTTACTCATGGTTTACAAATGAAGAAACTGGCTCTGAACAACATGATTTACCAAAGAGCACATTAACCAGTAGCAGGGATGTTGGGAGTCTTGATGAATGATCATGCTACTACAACAGTAAACTTGAAACTTTCATAAATTCCTAACAACTGCTACAAATTTTAATTGTTGATTGCAACTTACAAAGTAGGTTCAATTTATCAAAAGAAATAAAATAACTATGATTAAGAAACAGAATGAGGGGTACCCTGAGTGACTCAGTTGGTTAAGCATCCAATTCTTGATTTCAGCTCAGGTCATGATCTCAGGGTTGTGAGATCGAGCCCTCCATCAGACTCTGCACTGGGCACAGAGCCTGCTTAAGATTCTCTCTCTCCCTCTGCCCCCTAGAAGAGCGCTTTATATATGAAAAGTGCTTAATAAATATTTGCTAAGTGCATGTCTTTAAAAAGCTGGCTACAATTTTGAGATGGTTGGACTATGAGAAAGCAAATAAGTCCTCTTAGAGAAAGAACTACTGCTTTGTTTTGGAAAAAAGAAACAAACAAACAAAAAGAAACAGAATGAATTCCCCCTCGTTGTCATAGTATATATTTATAGCTCTTCAACCTAATGCACAGAAGATTCTAAATCAGATGGAAAGTTTAACAATCAGATAAAGAAGCAAGACTGTAACTAAAATGAACCATGTAAGACAATGTGATAGAAATAGGATTTGAGGGGCGCCTAGCTGACTCAGTCAGAAGAGAATGAGACTCTTGATCTTGGGGTCGTGAGTTCGAGTCCCACGCTGGGTCTAGAGATTACTTAGATAAATAAAACTTAAAAAAAAAAAAAAAAGAAAGATGATTTGATACCTAATAAACTGGTTGAAAAAAATGTAATAAAGTTATTTTTGTTGTTACCTTTTCTACTGCAGGCACAAACTGCTTTGGAATATTAGCCCCGAATGTTTCATCTAAAAACTCCAACTTAGTGTAGTTCTCTGGGTCCAGAGGCTCCAGTACACCGATCACTTTTCCAAATTGGCCTGCACCACCTGACTGTTTTTTATGTGTAAATTCAAACCTGAAAGTGATTTAGGAGGGGGAAAAAAACGATACAGCATTATGTTAATTCGCAAAATGAAATAATTCCTACTGATTTAAATGAAAAACCACATTTCACCATTATTACTTGTTCCTTTGAATACCTTGCCATAAAATTTTATTGTAAAATTTATTTAAAAAGTAATTCTTTCATGTTTTTACTTGGAGGTGAGAGTGAGGTACAACACCAAAGTAATCCACGGTTTTCTTTAATTCTGCCAATTCTTCCCTTCACAAGTAGAAAAGTAAAAGTGTTAAAAGTCAGTCTAAGGTTCGTGCTCTAGTAACCTACATTCCAAAGAGCTCACCCTCTTCTTTTGGAATGCCTCCCTTCCCCGGGACATAGTGTTGTTGTTCTCTTCTTAAATCTCTACAACTAAAGACAGTTACTTGAAAACAGGAGCTCTGCAGTTAATTTATTCAGATCTGAGTTTACTACTTGGACTTTATGGAGTGATGCAAGATGAGGGAAGGGAGTTTCAGGGGGATTAATACCTGAAAACAGTAATGGCAAAATGATGACTAACTTCAGTCAGTCATTTAAATAGACACATATCCAGACAGGTCAGTGTTTACTTCGAACCACGAATGGCAACATAAATAGAATAAGCACTTTATATAGATATTAAACATTTGTAAACATACACTATTTCCCTGAAGAAAACATTTCATGAGTATCTACTACCTGTAAAGCATTTCTTCCTTTAAACCGAAACCTTCCTCAAGACCTCAAGAGGAAAGAGGCCAGCCACTTTCAAAATTATCTCAGGTAACTGCAGGTAAATGGACATTAACGAGCCTGTTCCTACCTACAGATCTGTGCTAGTTTGGAATTAGTATTCATTTTGGTAGGAGATGCCAGCTTGGAATATGCGGATTTCATAAAAAGCCTAAGTGTGACTGTGCCTGATGAGCTGCCTTTAAATAATCTTCGAGCTGCCAAGAGATTCAGGACGGGCTGAGGAAAACAACCGCTGAAAGGAGAACTTTCTCTCGGAACTAAGAGAACGAAAGTAGAAGGGAAACAACTGGCAAAGCACCACAGAACGACCGCAGGGGCTCCACAACCGTGTCTGGTGACCAAGTCGTGGGTACGCGCAAGGTCTCCAAGACATTTACAGTTTTGTTTTCAATTTGACAAGAATATAACATTGATACAAATACACGCTCCATCTGTGCTATCTCTAGGGTAGTCACTAACCAGGGATGTTTACATTTAAGTTAAAATTTTGAAAAAATTTAAAATTCAGTTCCTCAGTTGCACTGGTCACATTTTAAGTGGTCAACAGTCAAATGGGGGAAGCGGCTACAGGACAGGGCAGCACAGAGAACATTTCCAGCACTGCCCGGCAGGACCAGTTCACAGACCAGTAAGTTTCAGGGGCCACGTCTGAGTCATAATCAAGTGGATGCTGAATAATGAAACACGTAGGTGCCAGGCTTGTGCTAAGCAGTTTTTATGGATCGTTTTGTTTGTTCTTCACCACAAACTATGATGTGTATACTATTTCTATCACCATTTTACAGATGAGAGAGTAACTGGCCAAACATGATACAGGTAAGTGGCGGAGCCAGGATATGCACCAAAACCAATGCTCTTCATCAAACATTTTTCTAGAAGGCTAATAAGAACATAAGCTGACATAACCTGAAAATGATGATTTCACTGGAAAAGCTGTTAGAAGGCGGTCCATGAAGATAGATTTTACAGTCGCTTAGACAAAAGGTAGAAGAACTAAGACATGGCTTGGTAGGCAGCGAACAGGAGTGCTGGAGGTAAAAGGACCCATGCCCCGGTCATCAGACCACTAGCATGTTGGAAAGGCAATTTCATTTTGAAAAAATATCACCTCTCACGATAAAACTAATGTTAATTAAAATGGTGTTGGGTTGTTGGGGTTTTTTTTAGATTTTTAAAATTTAAGAGAGAGAGTGCGAGAGAGCACGAATGGTGGGGAGGGGCAGGGGGAGAAGGAGAAGCAGACTCCCTGCCCAGTGGGGAGCCCCATGTGGGGCTTTGCTCCCAGGACCCCAAGATCATGACCTGAGCCCTAGGCAGACACTTAACTGACTGAGCCACCCCGGCAGCCCATAACTCTATTGGTTTTATCTCTATTTTGTAGATTTATTTTGATTTTGTAGTTGTACCAAAGTTGCAAGCCACAGACCTTTTTAATTTTATGTTCATGCAAGTTTATAAAATTATAATAATTTACCTGATCCCAGAGACCCGTAATAATTTTGTTACTTTAACGGTAACCCATACATTATTCAAATTTGAGGATAACAGACTTTAGACTAACCATTCATAAAGCTTTAGTAGATAAGATTTCAAGGACTCAAGTATAACAATAAGATTCTCTTAATGCAGTTTACTTAACATCTAGATAGGCAGTTAAATGTTTTAATGTAATAATTATACTTTGAAAAGAATATAAATTAATATGTGTGCTTTTAGTAAATGCCTAATATGTCACAACCTATTAACTAGCTTTGACCTACAGCGATGGTATTCATAAAGCTTCAGTGACTTTATCTAGGAAGCTCACATATTGTATTTCTAACAACTCTAACTGGAAATAACCAGGAGATGTTAACTAGCTATTTGTGAAACTTAAAATTTCATTATCAGCAAAAAGCTCTTTCAGCATCATCAGAATGTACTCAGCCACTCTTTCCTGGACACTATCAAAGAAACACGTGATTCGAACAATTCACACACACTCACACACACACAACGACAACCTAAGAGGTTGGCTGATACATGAATGACTCATCCTCTCACGCCCCAAAAGAAAAACCTACCCCCCCCTTTTTTTTTTTTTAAAGAAAAGCCTTAAGGGGAGAAACTAACCCCTTCATCCTCTTACTTGACAGCTGGTTGGCTAATATAACTAGAAAAGACAGAAATGCCTTATTCCTTACATTTTTAAAAAATATACTTACTCCAAATAAAGACTTTATTAGTAAATTAAGAAGGGTATTTGGGGAAGAGAACACATTATAAATACATTTTATTTTTTAAATCACAACACATATGCCCACCCAAAGAACTTTCAAAAATCCATTTTGAGAAAAAAAAAAAGCTAAGAAGCTCTATTTTTCCAAGCCAAAGAGCTAAAGGGAAGGTTTGGCCATACAGATAAAAAGGAACCTTAGCTTCCTGATCTAGAGCAAATCCAATGTCTAAATTATAGTCCCTTCAAAGGTAAAACGAGAAGACAATTAAGAAACCTGCAGAATGGAAATGCACTGCCTACTAAAAGTTTGTGCTTGCTTTAAGCAGCTTTAAAAACTCTTGTCTTTGTTAGAAGTTACTTCATGTAGTGCTTGAAGTTCAGTTCTTAAATATGTTTTAACTCTTAAAGTAAAAATTTCAAAGTGATTAGAAGGTTAGAAGCTTGGTTTTTACAGCAAAACCTCATTTTTCTAAGATTAGTAAAGCGAGAGGGGATGAGGTGTATTTCTTTCTCCTGGTCCAAATTACATAATCCTCCAAATTAATGCTATCCTTTGAAGTTTCTCATACCCTGATTTGGGCAGCATTGGTCCAATCCCACAGAAAGGGGCATTAACCAAGCGCGTTTCTGCACCTCACAATGGGAAGGAGAAAGAAGTAACCAACCGACCGACTCACTATCTAGAGCTCCTTTGCACTTTGCCCTGTGCCTGACACTGCGCGGTGTATAAGGAAGGTGTGCTGCAGACTGCAGGTGAAGCAACCAGATTTCTTCCACGGAGAGCAAACTCCATAAAGGAAAAAGCCAGAAAGCCCCTCCCTGCACTTCAGTAAAGGTTAATGAAAGGATGGATGAAGTCCCAGCCAACCTAACCCACCGACTCCCTCCCTACACCTCTACCCCCGCCTGCCGGAAAGGCCAGGACTCACCCCTCGCAGGCACCAGTCGGTAAAGTGGGCGGCAGCAGGGCGGGGCCACAGGAGCAGCCGCCGGAGCCAGCGCCCCTGCGGCAGCTTCCTGATTCGGAAGGAGGGAAGGAGGAAGAGAGGAGGGTGGGAGCCGGCGATCCCGCCTACACCCAGCCCGACCTAGGCGTGCCGACTCTTCCGACTCTTCCGACTCTTCCGTCTCAGCCACCCAGGAGGAGGCTGAACCGGCGGCGCACTGGTACCTTCTAGTCCCTTTCAACGTGAGCAGCCGTAAGCTCCCACCAAGAATGGAAATCCCCCCGACCCACTTCCCAGCCTCCAGGGCAGCCTCGGTGGCGGAGAACTGCATCAACTACCAGCAGGGGACCCCCCACAAGGTGTTTCTGGTGCAGACTATCAAACAAGCCAGCATGGAGGTGAGTCCGGCAGAGGGCAGTGGGCGGGAGCCGGTATCTACTTGCTTGCCCTCCACTCCCGAGGGTCTCAGCCTTGTTCTCAGCGCGACTTCCCTTCCACTCCACCCTTGCCTGTTTTGGGACTCGCTGCTGACGTCAGGTCTAGGGAAGTTAACATTTCTGGGAATAGCTGACACTCCGGGACAGCCAGGGCTGTTTGTTTTTTCTTGGAAAGGCAGAGACATAGACACAGCTTTTAATGGGAAAGAAATGGGAAAATGTTCTAAATGTGGGGCGGCATTTTACCCTTTTCTGAGTGAAACCTGTAGAACCATTCAAAAGAATCTCAAAACTGCTACTACGTTTCTCATCTACTACTCCAGTAGTAGATGAGAAACAAACCTCCCGTCTGAACCAACAAAACCTCCCGTCTTCCAAACAATACTTCTTTGCCTAAATTTTAGGAACAATCTTTATCAGACCCTTTGACCAAAATGAAGGGGGAAGCAAACAGACAAACTGACAACCAAAGTCAGAGAACAAAAGCATTGTGGGCTGAAGCTCTGCCTTAACTACCCAAACACCACGGCCACTGACTCCTGTAAAAGATATGCTCCCTCTGGCAAAGGGTTAAATTAAATGCTTAAGGCTACAGCTGTCACTAACCAGGCTTGTTTCCGTTTTACTAAAATCTAA